CCTGGACTGAAGTTATGTAAATTCATGATTAATGAAAGGCTATCTTAGGACATGAAAAGTTGCTTCCCTTATATGTAATTGTAAAAACGCAAAAGCGACCATAAAAACTGCAAAACATAAAATGTGAAACCGTAACTTTGCATGTATATTCGCAGGAACCTAATGAATCTCCATAGTAATTTTGGTGAAGATCCATCTACACCCTGCGAAGTAGTTACATGGACAGACAACAGACAGTACTATTATATTTATATAGATTCAAACTTGTTCTGGTTTTACACTCGTGTTAAATGCATAGATTACACTATTTTATAACCAAGGATTGTCAATCCGTCAACACTGAAAGCTGTAAGCACAAACATCAGATATCTATCAAACACCATTTATCATGGCGGACTCTCCAAATGCTTAAAAACTTGTTACATTATTCCAAAATTTCCTAATAAATGCTTTATAATGTTTTGATAAGCATTAAATAATCTATGTAGATATGCTAGAAAGTAAATAAACCTTTGGCAACAAAATAAATAAACTGAAGATATTATGCCACTATGAAATAAAACAAAAATAGAAAATTATAATATCCGTTAAACTGGATAAACAGAACGAACCCAAATATATTTCATGGGTTTATTGCACATAACATGAAGACTGGTCGACAAAATGTCATTAAAACAATATCATTTAAATATTGTACTTTTTGCATCGTTAACCAAAATTACTATTTTGCAGTGAATTATTTCTATAATCGTCTTATTCGCAACATATTCAAAAATTTCAGATTTTCCAAAGACAGATAATGAATTAAATAAACTTAAATCAGCTGAAAACCGATTTTAGAACCAAGAAATATAGAAATTAGACAGACATGAAAATAAAGTTGCTGTAAGCAATCTTAAGATTAAAAACCAAAACGCCCATTTATATAAATATAGAATTGAAACGAAACATAATTAAAACGTCTAGCTTAATATTATTAGCATGTATTAAATATATGGTTTCTATATTCAGAATTCCTATCATACAGGACATCGGTCATTTGATTTAATATGTTACGCAGCCAAAGCTGACGTCCTATTTTAAATAGATGGTATATGAAAAATCTTGCACTTGAAAGATCTAACTTAAAGCACCTTTTAATGTTTTATCCCCTTTGAATAATAACAAAATAATAGAATAAAGAAAAAAGCTATTTAAGTTGTAGTGGCACAAAGTAACTTTACAATTTTATATTCCTAACTGAACACAATATTCAACGACATTTATTAAGCCTATTAAATGTGAAAAATGTTTCATTCTTTACCCTTTTTTTCATTCAATCTTGCATCTTAGCCGTATTTCAATATAAAATGTAATGAGATACGTTTTATTGAATGTTTTAAATATGTTAAAGGGCGTTTAAGAATATTCGTGTAACATGCCAGCGCGAAAAGTTTCAAACTTCGAACAGCTTTCTAAATGATTGCAACAAACTAGAATAGATAAAAAAAAAGACCAGTAACCATCCCTTTCAAAAACATAGAATATACAAGTGTTTTTTATGAGTCGGAAACATGAAACCGTATAAAACCAATGAGTTTGATTTGATTTCTAAGCAATGATATTAAAGGTAGGTTAGGGCGCTCGACTCGCAGTATGAGGATCGCGGGTTCGAATCCCCTGTCCCACCAAATATGCTCGCCCCTTCAGCCGTCAATCCCCTATTCGTTGATAAAAGAGTAGCCCAAGAGTTGGCAGTGGACGGTGATGACTAGCTGCCTTCCCTCTAGTCTTTCATTGCTAAATTAGGGACGGCTAGCTCAGATTGCCCTCGTGTAGCTTTGCGCGAAATTCAAAACAAACAAATCGAACCAATTAAAGGTAGGAGGACTTCATTCGTCTGTATATGGCTTAAAGCCTCTATATAATCATATTAACATATAAGCGGTTTCATGCTGCTTCTCCAATATGATATGAATTATTTTTTTATTTCATTCTTTTCTTTTTTTGATATAAATGCACACATTGAGAAAGTACAACTAGTTCAAAAGTTGTACCACACATGCTCATTTGAAGTGTGAACAAACGACTTATATTAAGATGTAAATGATTATCCATAGATTTGGAGTTTTTAACAAACTCTTGCACGTTGTTTCAAACTAAATATTCCCAAAAGTTACAAAATACGAATAATTCTACTTTAAACCATTTATGTTTTTGAATTGGTGGAATGTTTTGAAACTAGGCGCATCTAGGACTAAAATCTTAAAATATTTCAACCATATTTATTATAACTGAAGATTGAATGCGTTCTTGGTATAGGAAACTAGCATTCAACAAACATTTTATATTGTGCAAAGGCTATTTCATATTTTTACAATGTCCTATGAAAATATATAGGTCGCCAGGAGTAAATGGGTTAGTGAGTAGTGGGATTAATATTGAGGAGCTTTCAGAAACCTTCCTAATACAAGATAAAAATACATATATGGTTCATTTCTTAGATCTAGTATTGTACATATATCGCTTGTGTGATCTAAGATGTGTTTTTCTGTAGAATAAAGCAAACATTTTTTGACATAAAAATTTGAGTGAAGTAATAAAATTCCCTTAGTACTTAAAATGCTTTATAGTTAAATGCTACTAATTTTTCCTCCAAAAATAAATCAACCTTGGCTTGTGTCTACGTGAAATATCAAGTTATTAGAAAATATGTAACAATTGTAAAGCTTTTTTTTCTTTTGTTTACAGAAGGAGATTTGGAAGTTTTGAAGGATGGTAAAGTCTTAGGAAGAATGGGTCCTGGAAAAGCTTTTGGTGAACTGGCCATCTTATACAACTGTACCCGGACAGCAAGTGTCAAAGGTTTGTGCAGCATTATTAGCTACCATATTTGGTTGTACAGCCAAATTTACTTGATCCACAACGTGGTACTATAATAACTGACTGTTGCTCAAAATTGCATTACTCATGTAAATCTAAAAGAAAGTAAAACAAAGTTGTTGTCGAACAAGTCGAACACTGCTAATTAGTTTCATATTTATTAATGTAGATAACATGACGACCTATATTTCCCCAGTGTATTTTTGTTTGCTCAGTAAGATTCATATGCCTGCCCCCCCTTTTTTTTATAAAGGCAACTGACTTGAAAGTTTGGTCTAAAAATGCTTACTTACGGTGAATGAGCAAGTAACGTAATCATAATATACTGCACAAAACAGAGAATATTTCGAACTTTTATACACGGAAAGGCAAAAATCCCTGTTGTAAAATAATGTCAATTAGTCTCTCTTCTCCAATTCACCTTTATCCAAATCAGGCATCAGATGATCCTGAAATTAATATGATGCTTAATCTATTGTTTGATTCACTATTTGTCATTGAGTTCCTCGAAATCGATATTACTTAGTGACAAATGGGGTTCGCAGGATCTATAGGCCGGTAGGTAAACATAATATTGCCACCTTTGCTTGCGTACGTCATATTAGTATATGAAAATGAGATTAGATCTGGTTGTAGATTCCCACCTATTATCTAGTTGCAAGGTAAAGTGCGACTTGTCTGTAAAATGAATATTGATGTGTTTATGTTATCGGTCTACTAAAGGTATTTTTGACATCATTTCAGGGAAGCTGTTTTATGTGAAAGGCCGATCTTTTGAATTCTATTTCTAACTGTCTGTATATTGACTGACACGGTGTCCAGCTGTAGCTGCGAACACTGAATTCAACAGATACCCTATGGTCAGGAGAGCTGGAATCAACTAATATAGCGATTTTCTAATTGTGTTGGAGGATGGTTGTCTGCAATTGTACCATTAGTTTAATAGTGGGGTCATGCTTTTGCTAACGACACTTTAAGACACCTGTAGCCAGTTTACAGCAACCTACTGTGATTGGTCTTCTTTCATTCTTCCAATAGCTTTTCACATAAGTGAAACACCCAAATGTTATCTTTGAGGTCTGATCATGATTGGTTAACAATTTGAAATACTTTAAACTCTGGGATTAACTTTAATGTGAAAGTTGAGACAGTATTGTGTAAAACCACTATACATAGCACAAGATGATTAACCAATAGTTTGCATTTCAAATTCCATGACTAACCATTAAATGTCTGATTTTCAGATGAATGAACTGAGGGAATCATTGATATTGTAGTAGCGGTATTGCCTTGTTATATCAATAATATTACAAATTCGAGCTATCCTTTAATTTTGTGCAATATGTGTGGGTAAAGTTGGAACTTAGTAATATTTGTCTCAATCTTTACTGTTATCATGGTCGTTTAATATAGCTAAGCCTTACGTTCAGATCGGTCAATATATTTAGTTATTGTTGCTGTTAAATATTCCAAAAATCAAAGAAAACTTTTTTCTTCTTTTCTTTTTTGAATTTCGCGCAAAGCTACACAAGGGCTATCTGCGCTAGCCGTCCCTAATTTAGCAGTGTAAGACTAGAGGGAAGGCAGCTAGTCATCACCACCCACCGCCAACTCTTGGACTACTCTTTTACTAACGAATAGTGGGATTGACCGTCACATTATAACGCCCCCACGGCTAAAAGGTCGAGCATGTTTGGTGTGACGAGGATTCGAACCCGCGACCCTCAGATTGCGAGTCGAGTGCCTTAACCACCTGGCCATGCCGGGCCCATCAAAGGAAAAAGTCTCATTTCTGAAGAACACGTAAACAAATAATACAGATTTATGAAATAAACAGTCCCATTTCTCAAGAACACGTAAACAAATATCAAAGTTTTAGCAAGAAACAATCCCACTTTTCAAGAACGCGTAAACAAATATTACAGTTTTGTCAAAAAGATGTCATCTGATTGAGTATTGAATATTGCTTACTGATCAAAGCAAGATCAGAACAAAAATCAACCTAGTAATAAGTATAACTAATTTAATATGCTTTTTTTGGGGTGTACTTGCGTATAATAATCAGAATGCTTTGTTTCATCAGTTTGGTACTCTCACTGTTAACGATATTTTCGCTCGTAATCCCAATAACATTATACATTTTAATCAATACTGTTGATGAAAGTAACATTAAAAAAAGGATGAGTATTACTTACTCACAGAACTCATAAACACGCTGTATGCCAAATTTAGTTGTTTGTGGACACATAAAATAGTTTGCTCCGAATGTTGATTTTTAAATACTTTTTTTTACGATTAAATTGTTTTTCGAGTGTTTTTAATCAAAAATTTCAATAATAATATATTATAAATATCATTAAATTAGAGATGAAAGCGTTTGAATATTATCATGAAACAACGAGTTTGAGTTTATCACATTATTCTGTAGCTTATTAGGCTCAGTCAGGAAAATAATTAGATTATTGTTAGCCCTAATGACCAGACCTTAATCATGACGTATAATGTAAAGAAAGTGTTATCTGATAGGTACAAACTTTTATGTTACATAACAGAAGTTTCTTAATTTACCGCTGTCATCTATAACATAACGAAACTTGAGAAATGGATTACTACAACGTGACTTGATTGCTATACCTTCGTAAAAAGTTAATGTTTTCTTCCTGTCTCTGGATCCCGGTCCTCATCATGATGACTTGGAACGCGCTGCGGTCAAGCACCCATACTTTGGCGTTCGTAACCGCTGGATAGGAAAACAAAAAGCAAAACTAACATTAAGTTTAAAACTTTAGATTGCACTTTGATTAGTTTTGATCTTCTTTGAAAACATAATGGTAAAAATAAGTTTGTATTTAGTTTCCAAGCGCCAGTAAGATCTATTTAGTGTTCTGCAAACATTAGTTTTCAAATTTTAAATTGAGCGTAAAGATATATAAATAGACTTAATATAGCTAGTCACGAAATAAGACACAAGAAATATAAAATTCAAGCGTTTCATTCAGATAATTCCTTGTTTGAATGAGCCTAATTTATTTTACTAATTTCAATTATATTCTAAAAAAAAACCAGAGTTAAATTGATGCTTATAAACTTTTCCCAATAACACGTAATATAAGCTAATAGAATTTTGTACTTATGCAGATGTCAACTGACACAGAATAAATATTAAACTACGAGTTTATTTGTTTGTCTACACGAACATTGTTGCATATATTTTTATGTTTGTGCCACATGTGATAACTACTAAACTATGAGTTGAGTTGCACAAATATCGTTGAACATACATTAATGTTTGTATTGCATTTAAAAGTACTCAGCCACCAGTTCATTTGAACGCATATCATAATAAAAGTACTAAAGCTACAGACATATTTTAACGTAGAATATTTAATACTTTTTATTATAACTGAAGGCTGATTTTAATCTATACAGAAATGGTTTCTTTTGACGGGCAACTTCGACTCTTTCTGAGCTATAGCGATATCATTAAATTGCTACAGACTGGCCATGGTTTGACATAAAGACAGCTGGGGACTTTCTTTGGGAATTACTGTCGAATTTGGTAGGCTAATACACTCTGATCTATAGCCACCTAGGTTGCTACCGATATAAGCCCCAAAACTTTGGGGTTAACAAAGTAATAAGCAAATAAATACAGCGAAACAGAATCATAAATTCTGTGTGTATTAAAAAAAAAAGAAGTTTAAATCATTTAAAAAAAACTTTTACAGTGATTCCCCCCCTCTCCCCATCTTACAGTAATTTTAACCATTTTTATGTATTTTCAGAAGTTTGAGCAACAATGCTCATATAAAACGAGAACACATTATGATTTTGAAATTACATTATCATACTGGCTGGAGTTATGTCTAACACATGAATTTATATTTTTATTCATCTTCAAACGTGAACCTAATTAGAGGATAATAATAATAATAATTCGAATAATTATTGAATAACGTTACATACCTAGCCTTTCGAAACAAGTGTTATTAACATACATAATGGACTTAAAGCTGTTAAAGGAAGTGACGGTTTTAAACTTGTGTTCTTTTGACTCTAAGAGTATGTTGCAGCTAAAAGAGAGGGACTTTATGTGTAAAATTTATGTAATCTATCGCATTCTGTAAGTTGTTTTAAAAACATAATGTGATTATTAAGACTATTTACGGATTGAATACAAAGAAAATCCAATTATCCATGTTAACTGAATGATAGTAACCAAAACTGTTGACAAAAGACTACTGAGCATTCAGTACTGGTGTAAAGCTTTTTTAAGCTTGTTTCATTTTTTTGTTGTTTTCTTATCGTATAGTAAAAGAATCCTTCTTAACTTGGCATTCAAATCTTCATTCAGTATATATATATATATATATATATTTAGTTAAACTGAAAACCTTAAGAACATATTTTAAGAATACATATTTTTTATGAATAGTTTAGGGAATCATGCTTTAGACTGAACCTAAGACTGCTTTTTAGAGTATTTAGACAGATACAGATATCTTTGTTGATATTTGTTGAAGTGATTTATATAACATCGATCCCTTGGTTCTTAGAAGCTCTGCAATTGATTGTTTGTGGCTCAGACTTTTTCCACTGTCGATACTTTTTGTCAAAGAAGAGTGATATTTTCAACTAATATAAGATTAATTCGCTACGCTTCGGATTGTTCACTTTCTTTGTTGGATCCTGAAATCTTTCCTTCATTTCTTAACTCGGTGCTGTATTTATTAATTCACTAAGAATTTCAACTTCATGATCAGATTGATTTCTTGCAATTCTATATTTGTTTAGGTCTCCCTAGGAGTATTTTAAAGAAACTATACATTACTTCTTATTACTGTCCTAAGAGGAACCGTAATGAATGTCACATAATTAAAAGTTAGAGGAAATGCACCTCTCACATTATTAGAGTAAAATGTTTAAAACATCCAAATGCGCGCTAAAAATAACAAGTAGTTGTTGATACATGTATGGTAAATATCTAAGGTTATCTTATAAGGACGTTGCACAAAAATCAGACGCTTGTAAAGATAGATAAGTAGTATAAGTAGAAAAATAACAATCATATACATCTTAATTCAGAAGTAAATAATAACAAAACATTAAGTATATTCATGCATTGAACCTTAATATTATGTAGTCACACAACTTCAAAAGTGAATTGAATCTGTTGCCTCTCTCTCTTTTTCATCTAGTGAGCCAAGATAAGCTTCGAGACTTATAACTCTAGAACTTGAGGTTCGATCTTGAGGCGGACAGAGGAAAATAGCCCATTGTGCAGTTTACACTAAAACAAATTACACTTTCTGTATCTATATAAATATAATAATACTGTCTGTTGTATGTCTGTGTAACTACTTCGCAGGGTG